ATTTTCTAAGCCTTCCCAATGGAATTGAACCTCGCCCGTAAACCAAATATTATTGTGGACATGCATCATTACAAATGGCCATGATTTGTAATTGTTATTTGTTATTTCTGGGTTCCAAGTCAGGCACCAGGAGGTGAAGCCAGTCACCCTGTCTCAGTTCACAGGCTGGTACTGAGACTAGTTTCCATTGTTTGCTGTTATATAGCAGGGCCCACCTCCTTCCTATGGGAGGACTCAGGTGGTATTCAGAATAGTTCCTATCCCTGCAAATCGTACTACAGGGTGTGTCTTCTGATCTATTCTTGGAGCAAATGCAGTCATAATGCATCAACGTAAAGTATAAGCTGTCCCAGAGAACTTCCATGGGTTTGCAGGTCCCTAAGATTCCCATAGGAGTGCTCCTTGAGCCTCTGCAGCTAGTATGGAGGGCCATTGCCCCATGGCTCCTTTGGCCTTAATCAGCATTAAAATAGTCAAGAGGCCCTGTTGGGTGAGGGTACAAGCCCTTTCCCAGTGCTGGGCTCTAGTATTATGCAGCATTATTTGATGCCTTTGTCTCACCCATTTTACTAAAGCCTCATCATCTTTCCAGGATGACTCCTATCCTTTGTTTTCCTCCGGAAGAGAACTCCTACTTACCTGCTTGTTCTAGTTAATAAAGATTTTTCCTCTAAATACCTCTCCTCATTAAAAGCAAATTCAGTTTGTTCCACAATGGGGGACTTATCTCCCTTAAAGCTCTTTCTTTTCTGTCTCATGGGCCAACGTTGTTTAATCCACCATATATGTTGTTGCCATTGTGTACAAAAGACCTGAGTGCAGTAAGGATAAGTGTTTTGTACCCCAAAATGGTGGATCCCCCATACTAGAGTTAGATAAGTGGTAGTCACACCTAATGATGTAATTTATTTTGAGTATACCATAAGGCCTCCCATAGCCTTCCTTGTCTCAGGACCGGGCTACTCCCCAAGAGAATTTGGAGGTACCATGTGATTCCTACTGCTTTAATCCCATAAGAAACCCATTTTTTTTCTAATCTGTTTAATAGCTTTCTATCCACAAAAAAAAAAAGGTGATCTGCATTTGTGCATATAGCACACTGTGGCCTTTTGGGCATGCTGCTGCTATATTTTGTCCATTAAAACCAGGGACCTTTCTAAGTATTTGATTATCAAGGTTTATAGTTACACAGAGACTAGTCTGCCAGGAGTTGTAAACCACACAGTCCAAAGGCCCAGTAGGGACTAGTTCCTGGAAATTCTTTCCCAAATGATATTCTTCACAGTAGATATAATCTGAAAACAGAGTCAAGAGACACTGGCACATTACTAGAGGTCCCTTCAGTTGTCAACAGTTAATCCAGCTCATTATCATATCCTAAGACCAAAATGTCTCCCAGAGCGAAGCCACTCAGGTTTGCAGGCTTCCGTTCAACTTTGTCAGGTTCCAGAGGCAGGGGTGGTCATGGCAAACATATGGCTTCACCATTACAGGCATCTGGTATAATTGTGCTAAAGACAATATTAATCTCTTGCTCTGAGCCTCTCTCCAGGCACCAGTGTAATGTTGGATTTTCCATTTTCGTTGCATACCCAATTATTCATCTCTTTACCCTCAGCTACTATTTCCCCTTTTCTCCTTTTGTCATTGATTTTCACTAAACTTTTCCACCTTTGGAAGGGCCATTAGGTTTGGCCACTGTGCTAGTCCAGATTGCTGGCAACAATATCAGTCTTGCAAGTGTCTCCCCCTCAGTCCCCTCCCATTCATATAGGATAGGGTTACATAGGTCCAGAAAGAGTAGACTATTCCTACCACCAGGCAATACACCGGCATTCACTGTTAGCCCCAATTTGGCCAGATGGGGTGTAGGCACAATCTGCCCCATCAGGCCCTTAGGAATTCTGACATAAAGGTTTAAAAAGATAAAGTTTCTTGCTTAGGGATCATCCCTGCTTCTGGCATCGCAGTTGCACTCCTGGTCTTAGGACCACTGTATCAGGTAGGAAAAAAGTAAGTCGAGATGATGTGGAAAAGAATTGTATAGTCCGAGTGCTGCCAATGCCCCAGCGGAGAAGCCGAGGTCATCATCAAATATGAAATATTTAAAGTGGATACAAAACTGTTTCAGCAACACAGACAATTAAGTGCATTGTTGTGGGCGATGGTGCTGTTGGTAAAACATGTCTCCTGATATCCTACGCAACAAATAAATTTCCATCTGACTGTGTACCAACTGTTTTTGACAACTGTGCAGTCACAGTTATGATTGGTGGAGAGCCATATACTCTTGGACTTTTTGATACTGCAGGGCAAGAGGAATATGACAGATTACGACCGCTGAGTTATCCACAAACAGACGTATTTCTAGTCTGTTTTTCAGTGGTCGCTCCATCCTCATTTGAAAATGTGAAAGAAAAGTGGGTGCCTGAGATAACTCACCACTGTCCAAAGACTCCTTTCTTGCTTGTTGGGACCCAAACTGATCTCAGAGATGACCCCTCTACTATTGAGAAACTTGCCAAGAACAAACAGAAGCCTGTCACTCCAGAGACTGGTGAAAAGCTGGCCCATGACCTGAAGGCTGTCAAGTATGTGGAGTGTTCTGCACTCACACAGAAAGGCCTAAAGAACGTATCTAATGAAGCAATACTGGCTGCCCTGGAGCTTCTAGAAGCGAAGAAGAGCTGCAGGTGTGTGCTGCTCTGACCATCTCTCCAGAGCCCTTTCTGCACAGCTGGTGTCGGCATAATACTAAAAGCAATGTTTAAATCAAACTAAAGATTAAAAATTAAAATTTGCTTTTGCAATGACAAATGCCCTGCACCTACACACATACACTCACGTGAGACAAGGCCCATAGGTATGGCCCCTTCCCCCTCTCAATACTAGTTAATTTTGAGTAATTGTGTATTGTCAGAAAAGTGATCAGTACTAGTTTTTGTTTGTCATTTCAAAAATGTTCTTTTGTTTGTTTGTTTAAAAGCAAGGCATGCTTGTGTTGACCCTGTAACAGACTGATTTGGGTTGTTGAAGCTGCTCCCGGGTTCTGCTCTGGAGAGTAATCTGGGACATCTAGGATTTCTTTGGTTTTGTCTTTTTTTGGGGGGGGGGAGGGGAGACAGTGTGTGTGGGGTTTGTTTTCATTTAGTCATTTTTTTAATTAATTAACCATTGGACAGCCCTTAACGGGAGGAGGATGGATTGAGTCCACATCCCACTTCCAAGATCTAGTGTAGAAAACATGTTCCCCACCTGGCGCTCTTAGGAAGGAGTATAGTAAATGCCTCACTTAATAACATATTCTTTTTTGAAAGTTGCCTTTTCTCTCTACCTTTGAGTAGGTCCAGTATTTGATGACACTCATGAAAGTGGGTGGAACCTGTCTTGCCCCTCCTCTTTTCTAGGAGGCACTATATATGTGACTGTGACTTGCAAGGAAATTTGTTTGCCATTTGCGGATTTTTTTGAAGTTAGTTTCTAACTTCTTTCACTGATAAATGAAGAAAAGTATTGCACCTTTAGAAATACACCAAATGGATTGAGTACGTAATTAAACATTTTCTCCCTGTCAAAAAAAAGAATTGTATAGTCCTACCAGCAACATCTCCCACTCTCTCAGACCTCCTGGAAAAGCAGAGGAATCTATCCAGTGGGGGCCCTCCCTTCACCTCCCTCACATTGAGGGAGGTTACACACTTGTGAAGGTATGTAAGTCAGCCCTTCATGCTTTTGTCTCTCCCCATTTAGACAACAGATGTTTCAATTCTCTATCAAGCCACCACTCTGAGGATGATATGCAACATGATATGCCCATTTGACATGATATCTCTTGGCCCATTGTTGGAACTACGGGCTATCCAAATTGGTACAGTTTCTTCTATTCCAATATAGTATTTTATAGCATTTTAAGCATGTTCATCTACAATCAGGTATGCAAAGCTACTTGAATGTGCCCCCTTAAATTCCCATAGTGATTTCCTTAGGGTTATGCCTATACAAGCATCCTTTTAATAGTCCAGTTTTTCACTGCCCATTTGCCAGAGCATTGGCCCCTGCCCATGAGTCAATAAAACCCAAACATAGGGGCCTTTTCATTCAATTCTTCCATCACTGCAAGGGAAACAGCATGCAATTCGTCCCACTGGGCTGATTTGTTCTTACGTTCTGCAAAGATTTCCATCAGTCAGTCAGAGCACAGTGGCCTTCCAAACAAGACACTGTCTGTCCCGTTTGGAAGTCCCATTGGTAAACCAAGCAGCTTTTTCTTGGTCAATAGAGAGCTGTTCACAGGGCTCCTGGTGGCTCCGCAGGTGCTTCCAAAGTCGGCCCTGCGGGAAAAGAGGCCACCTCCTGGTGAACACGATGAGTACCTCCTTGCGTTCCCCAAGTAGCATGTTCCTGTGTAAACCACTTCCATTTCATTAAGGAACTCTTTGGGGGCACTGCCTTCTTTATCAGAGAGTTTATCTGACATCACCGGAGACATTATGGGTATTTCAGGTTTCAGGTATATTGTGTGTCCTTCAGTCATTAGAGGTGGTTTCAACCAACACCAATAGCAAGCTAGTCATTTTCTCCCAGATGGGGCATATCACACTCTGCATCTGGAAATTTTCTGGTGCAAAATCTCAGCAATTGTCACTGGGTGCAACTCACAAGCTTTTGCCATAAGCCCTTCTCATCAGGTCCATACAGGGCCACTATACAGAGAATTCGTCCATCCCAGTCTAACACATCACTGATTAAAGTGAGGATCTCCTTTTGTCCACTGGGTATTCTGCACTGTTTCAAATGGATAACTAGTGTGGGCTCAGAGGATTGTTTAGGTCCCTTACTGCACAAGGGCCCTCCTCGTTCTCTCAGCCCTGTATGTCACCACCATCCATAAACCCCTACCACACATGTGTGCGCACACACACACAGCCCTTGTCCAGTCCAGGCAACATGCCCCTGACTCTAGCCTTTCTTCTCCCCTAATGGTGGTGTCCTGACCTGCTCCCCTCCCTGACTCTCTCTGCAGCCAGATTTACTGCCATGGGGAGCTCCTGCACCAAGTTCAGATGGCCAAGCTCTACCAGGACGACAAGCAGTTTGTGGACCAGCCACTGTCCTCAGCTCCAGGTAAGGCCCCACCTCCTCCTGAACCTTCCACCAAAGATGCAGGGGGCAAGACCAGGCAGTGAGGGGCCTCTGATCAGGGAGGGGCTTCTGGGGTCCTGCTGACCTCTCCCTGCTGCCTGTTCAACAGACCAAGTTTTGCAGCGCTTCAACGAGCTGGCCGAGGCCCACAACCACAGCATCCCTCAGCAGCAGCTGCAGCTGTTTGTCCAAGAACATTTCCAGCCCGTGGGGCAGGAGCTGGAGTCCTGGACTCCTGAAGACTGGAAAGACAGGTACAACCCTGGACAGGGAACAGGAGAAGGCCCTTCAGAGAGGGCTGCCTCCCTGAACCCTGTGGGGCCGGTGTTCTTCAGTCCCCAGTTCCTGCAGACAATCTCAGACCCCAACCTGCGAGCCTGGGCAGGGCAGCTGCACCAGCACTGGAAGAATCTGGGAAAGAAGGTATCAGTGTCCTGGGCCTGCGCCAGGGCCTGACCAAGAAGGATGGACCTGGGAGAGGGGTGTGTCAGCTTGGGGCCCACAGTGCCCCTAGAGCACAGACTGGAATTCATTTCCTGAGAACGCAGCTCCCCGCCCCCTGGGTCCTTGAACAGAAGGTCTCTAGAAAGAACTTCTGACAGGGAGGAGGGGAAGGTCTACTCCTAACTGCTCACCTCCTCTCTGAAGCCCTTTCCAGCCTCCCCCCAGGCAAACCTAGCCTGTCCTACCACCTCCAGGCTGCCCAGTCCTGCCCCTTCCTTACACCAGTGGTAATTGCCTGCTGGGCTCTCTCTTCCCTGAGCTCCTCAGGCCAGGCCTCTGCTCAGGAATGATAATTGCTACTGCCGATTGTAGCCAAGCCCTGGGATCAGCACAGTCTGTTAGGCACTTTCTCTCCTTTGTCTGAGGCTCAGAGAGGGCAGTGGTTTGCCCAAGGCTGCACAGCAACTGTCCTCCTGCCCAGGCCCCAGGGCCCTGGCACCTGCTGACACAGAATGGTGCTCCGGGCTCCTCTGCCAGCTAGCTTGGGCTGCTTCCTCACACAGCCCTGCAGGAACAAACCCGAGCCCTGTTCCACTGCTCCCCTCAAAATAGCTGAGACAGGCTGGCCTCTCTCCCACTAAAACCACCCTCCTCTAGAACTAGGAGGGAATGAACAGAGAAATGCCAGATGTGGACACACAGCAAGCCCCCCTCTGGTCCTACAATTGCTCTCCCTCAGCCGCGTTCATCCACATCCATCTCACTGGGGAAAGGGCTTGGGATTTCATCCACACCTGGGCCAGAGAATGGGGGCCCTGAGTCTCTGGGCCTGGCTTGGGGTGGCAGCAGAGATTCGGGGGGCAAGGTGAGCCAGAGGAAATGGCCCCCCACCTGGGTCCTAATAATGGCTGCTGCTCAGTGAGCACCTGTGGCTGCCAGGCAGAGTGGTCAGGGCTCCTACGCACCATCCCCCCAGTCAGGACTCCAGAGGCCGGCATGTGGGGACGAGCACACCAGGCTCCCAGCAGCTCAGGCCTTGACCAAAGCCACACGGCCAAGCAGCAGCAGAGCCAGAACTCAAGCCCAGGCTGCCTGGCTCCAAAGCCCAGAGCTGCCAGCCCCAGCCTCCTTCAGCCTCCACTCTGTGGGGGCTGTGCCCTCTCTGCTGACTGCAGGTGAAGCCAGAGGTCCTCAGCCACCCTGAGCAGTTCTCTCTGATCTACTCAGAACACCCCTTCATTGTGCCTGGCGGGCGCTTTGTCGAGTTCTACTACTGGTGAGCAGCCAGGGGCCACAGAGGCGGGAGTGGTGGGGAAGCCAGGGTCAGCGGGGTGTCTTGAGCAGGACAGGGTGCCCTCACGTGGCCTGGGTGTGCAGGGCAGAGGGAGCTGTGAGGAGATGCCTGAGCTGTCCCTTCCCCCAGGGACTCCTACTAGGTGATGGAGGGTCTGCTCCTCTCTGAGATGCCCGAGACAGTGAAGGGCATGCTGCAGAACTTCCTGGACCTGGTGCAAACGTAAGAGGGGGCCGGGCACCTCAATGGCAGGGTGGAGGAGAAGCAGGTGCCATGGGCTTGGAGCTGGGTCTGCCTTGGCTCTGGCGGCCGGGCAGAGGCATCTCAGCAGGCCTCCTTCGTGGCAGCTACGGACATATCCCCAATGGGGCCCGCGTGTACTACCTGCAGCGGAGCCAGCCCCCACTCCTGACCCTCATGATGGACCGCTATGTGACTCACACCAACGACACCGCCTTCCTACGGTGGGCACCCCTCCCTGTGCTGCCCTGCAGCCCCCATACCTGAGACCTCCCAGGGCGGGACTGGGGAGGTGTGCCTGGGCTGAGGGGGTGCCTGGCTCCACCCCAGGGACAACATTGAGACCCTGGCCTTGGAGTTGGACTTCTGGGCTGAGAACAGGAGCATCTCTGTGAGCTCAGGGGGAAACAGCTACGTCCTGAATCGCTATTATGTCCCTTATGGAGGACCCAGGTGAGGAACTGCCCCGCCAGCCTCCCAATCTCCTGTCTATTCACTCTGGTTTGAGTATCACGACCCCTTGGCCAGGACGGTGAGTGACTTAACCCCACCTCTCAGATGGTGACAGAGATAGCCTTGGTGTTACTTCAAAACCTTGGGAGCCTCCTGGGGGAAATGTGAAACTGACCCGCATATGTACAGGGCAGGGAGAGACCTAAGAAAGAGGCAGACCATTCCAGATTGGTAGGTGGCAGTTTTAATAAAGAAGGGAATTTACTTACGAGGCTTGTCTTCCGCAGCCACAAGACAAGCAGATCTCCGCACCCGCCCGCCAGAATCTTAGGTTTATGTAGAGGTCGTAACTGGGTTCAATTATGTATTCAGTCCAGATGGTCTCAACTACACCTTACTCCCTCAAGGCTATGTCCTTGGAACAGCTCCCACTATGGAACAGTAGGCAGAGGGTACATTCCAAGGACAGGGGAGGGGGTGAGGAGCCTCCGACTGCCCAGGACCAGCTCCAGGGTCAACCGGCGATCACATCGTCTTCATTACCTCCTCCAGCTCCTGGGTAACCCAGGGCTGTGGGGCCCAAAGGGCAGCTGAGTCAACATGGCTCAGTCTCCAGCTTGGGCACAGAGGGCTTAGAGCCTCCTAGTGCCAGGCCGCCCACTCTCCTCTTGCCAGGCCAGAGTCCTACAGCAAAGATGCAGAGCTGGCAGACACCTTGCCAGAAGGTGAGCAGCAACAGGCTGAGAGGGTCTGGGTGGCGCTGGGCGCCTGCAGTTGTGTCAGGCCCTGGTCCCCTGTCTGCTGCTGCCTTCTCCTCACAGGGGACCGGGAGGCTCTGTTCACCGAGCTCAAGGCTGGGGCCGAGTCTGGCTGGGACTTCTCTTCACGCTGGCTCATCGGAGGCCCAAACCCCGATTTGCTCAGCAGCACCCGAACCAGCAAATTTGTGCCTGTTGACCTCAATGCCTTCCTATGCCAGGCAGAGGAGCTGATGAGCAACTTCCACGCCAGACTGGGTGAGCACGCCAGCAGGTGGGGAGGTGTGCTTGTCCCATGTGGGTCCCCGCCTCAGCCCTGGCAACAGCGCTGGAAGTAGGACCTCGGGTGAAGGGCCTCCAGCCTGCCAGCCTGCTCAATACCTCTCCCCTAGCGCAGCCAGGGCAAGTGCACAAGTGGAGCCCACTCTCATCCTCACTGCCCCTCCTTCTTACTGGGAAGGCCTTCTAGGGCCTATGAGTGGACACCCTAGCCCATACAGCCAAACTCCCTCCATTCCTCTTCCAAAACAGCTGTCTGACCACTCAAAGCTAGGCCAGTGCTCTCCAAGGATGGCCCCAGGAACTGGCCAGTTCAGGGAACCGCAGGGAGCGGTACATGGCAATTTCCTCAGGGAATTACAGGTCCTAGAGGCCTCAAATGTGGTGGGCTCCAGGTAGGCTTGTCCCCTTGGTGTTCAGGACTTCTTAGCCTTTGGGGAGGACAACAGGAGGAGGCCAATAGAGACCTTTCGAAGGCACGGGTCCCAAGGGCAGCGGCCATGATTACTCAGCCTAAAGGCAGTGTCACTCCAGGAAATGACACCCAAGCCACAAAGTACAGAAATTTGAGGGCACAGCGCTTAGCTGCCCTGAAGGCCATCCTGTGGGATGAGGAGAAAGGTGCCTGGTTTGATTATGACCTTGAGAACGGAAAGAAGAACCCAGAGTTCTATCCATCCAACCTCGCTCCACTCTGGGCCGGCTGCTTCTCTGACCCGGGCGACGTGGACAAGGCTCTGAAATACCTGGAGGTGAGGGGGGCAGCAGGGCAGGCTGGTACTCTGGGGGCAGGACCATCTGCTCTCTCCCTGACTCTGAGCAGTAACCCCTGGCAGGTGGCAGCCACTGCCTCCTGCTCCGCCCCAGCGTCTTGGCCTGCAGGTCCCACTGCAGCCACCAGGGGGCAGCTGTGAGCCAGGAAGGCCCAGGAAAGGACATCTAGCCTTAGGAGCGCCCAGCCTCCCGGCTCCCTGTCCAGCTCCCACCCATAGTCATAGTAATGTCTGGAACCTTCTAGGACAGCCAGATCCTGACCTACCAGTACGGGATCCCGACCTCTCTCCAGAATACAGGCCAGCAGTGGGACTTCCCCAATGCCTGGGCCCCCCTGCAGGACCTGGTCATCAGAGGTAGGAGGCAGGGATGGGGCACATCCCAGGGCCTTACCCTCGAGGGAGTAGAGGGTCAGCCTCCCTGGTCCTGGGGAGGCGTGTGCAGAGGATGCAGGGTCTTTCTCTGACTTCTCTGCTCTCTCAGCCTCCCACTCAGCAAACATTTACATCCATCCCGCCCATCAGGGGAATCAGCCCTCCCCTCTCCCTCCAATGCCGGCCCCAGATTAACAGGAAGTTGGCCCGTGGTTCCAGGAAGGAGGTCTTAGGGCTCAGACCTCTTTCCCTCCTGGAGGAGAGTAAGGCTCAGGCCTCTGCTCCCCCTGGGATGGGGGCTCTGGAGATTCAGGGTCCTGGCTGGGGTGGGGTCTAGGTCTGGCCAAGTCTCCCTCACTTCGGGCCCAGGAAGTGGCTTTCCAGCTGGCCCAGAACTGGATCCGAACCAACTTTGATGTCTACTCCAAGACGTCAGCCATGTATGAGAAGGTGAGCTGGCCCTGAGCCCAGTCCCACGGGGCCTCCTCCTCATGGTGAGATGGGGAAACTGTCAGGCTTGCAAAGCCCAGGCCCAGCACAGCCAGGGACAGGGGTGGCACCGGTGGCCATTCTCAGCACCCCTAGGCACTGCAGGGGTCAGAGCTGCAGGCCAGAGCACCTTCTCCCAAAGGGGCTCCCATTTCTTGCTTTCCCTAGAGGGCTGGGGTGGGAAGGCTGGGGGTACCACTTGACCTTAAAGCCTTCTTGTCCCCAGTATGACATCAGCAACGGTGGACAGCCGGGTGGTGGAGGGGAGTATGAGGTTCAGGTGAGTGGGACATCCTCCAGAGAACTCTGGGGCTCTGCTGTCCCCACAAATGACCATGACCTCCCCTCTCTTGGCTTCGGTTTCCTCCCCTGTATGTGGGCCCACAGGGAGGAGGTACCCCCTTGGTACCCCTGGGGCTAGGCGGGGCCAGAGTCTCCGGGTGAAGATCCCACAGCCTCTAAAAGGACTTGAGGGCTTCCCCAGAGGTCTTCCCTCACTGGCCATGCCTCTCTCCAGGAAGGGTTTGGCTGGACCAATGGAGTGGTCCTGATGCTCCTGGACCGCTATGGTGACCGGCTGAGCTCAGGGACTCAGACAGCTTTCCTGGAGCCTCACTGCCTTGCAGCTGCCCTTCTACTTAGCCTCCTGCTCAGCCTCCTGCCACAGTGACCGGCCTCACTGCCCCGTCTGCCTTCACTTCCTCCTCTGCCTCCAGCTCCTGCCTCATTAAACTTCTGAGTTCCCACCTGCTCCTGCCTCTTCATCCTCCATCCCTGGAGACCTCATGCCCTCCTATGTCCCTAGCCGGTCCTCAGTCATTGTGAAGTGGGGGCAGGGTAGGGACCTGGAGGTCATGGGTTGGGCCCTGGGTCCCTCCTGGAACATTTAATAAGGTGGAAATCCTGCTTAGTAGGGAAGACCTAGCCCTCCTACCTCATGTACCCCAGCTCCATGCCCCCCACAACCTGGCTTCCCAAACACATACTCCAAATGCTTTATTGTTCTGCTGAGACGCTTACAAATACTGAAAATCACCCAGCCCGGACCCAGCAACCAAGGCCCAGTGCTGGGAAGAGGGGCAGGAAGGTGGGTTTAGTGTTAAGGCGGGAAGGGCTGAGGCCCGACAGCTGGAGGCCTGGTCCTCTTCTCTCCATTTTCATCATCCTATCGAGACTAAAGGGAGGGCAGCCGGACCTCAGGGTCCTCCCCATCTGCGGCTACTTCTGCTCAGGCCTTCCCTCAGGAGCGTCTGAGCAGCCCTCTGTCCCTGTCAGAGACTCAGCCCTGTACAGAACTCAGCCCTGTACGGGCCCTTCCACTTTCCTCTCCTATCCGCATCACTCCTCCTCTGGTCTCTAGATCCCCCAGCTTCGTCCCTTCTGGCTCTAAGCAAGGCACAAGTGGAAGGGAGAGGGCTGGACTGGGGGGCCAGCAGGCTGTGCATCAGGGCCTGGAGACATAGGCAGGGGGCAGGGAGTTATTCAGTCCCTTCCCCCCAGCATGAGATGCCCAAGGGCCTGGGCTGGAGAGATGATGGCACGTACCCTCAGATGGGCCCACAGCTGAAGCAGTGGGCAGAGCCATGGAGCCAGGGCAATTAGTATGTAACCATGGCAATGGGTCTGCAAAAAGGAGATGGGGCTGGGACCTCAAGGATGACACTTGAGGTCTCCGGCCCTTGAGCAAAGTAATAAAAAGTATAAACACAGGAGAAGAACAGGGTTGAGCGAGGTTTGAGAAGTATACCGCCTGAGCTGTTAACCCGCTCTGGATGTGGCTCTGCTCAGCCCCCAGGCCCCTGCAAAGTGGGCTGAGGCAAGAGGGGATCTTTGGCAGATTCTGGTACCATTTGTCCTTTTACAAAAGAGAACACAGGCTGGGGAATGCAGGTGCCAGGTCAGAGCTGAGAGGCCCCCTCTGTGACAGCTCCTCAGCCCTGGCTGGGGCCCGGGCAAGACCCTGAAGGGTTATTGCACGTTCTGGACTCCCAGGAGACAGCAAAGCCCCCTCCCCGGCTTTTATCTCCTGGCTGGTTCTTTAGGGGGCCCCAGCTCAGAAACTCACAAGATGAGCTCCTTACAGAACACTACAAAGTCTTCTTGTACAAAAACCCCAGTCACACTCCATCCTCCCAGGGCCTCTGGGAGCGCTCCTGTGAGGCTTAGGGCCCAGGGTAAGACTCCGTCTCCAGGGGCGAGGAGCAGCAAGTGGTCAGACGTGGGTCCGGGGGCCAGCCTGAGGGTCCAGGAGGCCCACACCAGTCAGTTCATGAACTGAGTGTAGCCCTCAGCCCCGGTGACAATGACATCCATCCAGATGCGCATGGCCTCTGCAGATGGGGCCACCATATAGTACAGCCGGTCATGGGTCTTCACACAGAAGGTGAGGGCTGGGTTTGGGCTCTGCCGAGGAAGAGAGGAAGGTCTAAGACGGGGCGCACCCACGATGCCCAGGAGCATTCTCACCTGCCTCCCAGTCTGCCCTTTCCCCTCCCTGTTACCCTGCTCCCTGGAGCTTGGGGCTGAGTCCTAAAGAGGCCTAAAGCCTGGCCCCCACGAGTCAAGTGGGCCCTAGGCTGAGATGCTCCCCTCCTCACCTCTGGGCAGTCCTTGGGCTTGCCCCAGGACCCCAGAGAAGCAGAGATCAGGGCTGGGGTGGGCATCCGAGGCTTGGCGGGAGGGAGGCTGACGTGAATTAGGGCAGATGGCCCCAGCCTCAAACATCTCCTATTTATCAGTCCTCTGCCAAATCCATTCTCTGAGGGCCGCCTACTCCCCTTTTAGCCATCCCTTCTGCATTGCCCACCCCCTCACAGGGAGACATCCTGTTGTCATCTCAGAAGAGAGGCAAGCAAGCCATACTTCCTGCTCTCTACAACCCACCTTCACTCCTCCCTCAGGCCTGGGGGAAGGGAGGGGGATTTAGGGGACAGTAAAGGGTCAAGGGTGAGTGGGGTACAGGAGATGTTAATGTGAGGTAGTTCTGGTTACAGGTATATGGGGAGGGGTACCTCAGACACCATAGTGAAGCTGAAAAACCTCTTCTGGGAAGGGGAGAGGGAGAAAGGAAGAGAAAGTTTACAAAGAGAACAAGGAATGGGTCCGAGCCTCTGAAGAAGACAGGCTGGAGGCCTTTGCTCCCAGAGCCCTGCTGAGCCCACCCCTTCCCCATGGCTGTCTCTTCTGCCCCCCTCACCTTGGCTGCACTGCGCAGGTGGTCATAGTACACTTCCTCGATGGCCTGGAAATAGATGACCCCCTTCAGCTTCGTCTCATGCTTGTCTGCAAAGCAAATAAGGGCCGGGCTGAGGAGGCCTGCACACTTTAGGTCAAGCTCCGTCGACACGGAGCTTCCCTGTCTGGGAAATGGGGCTATTCCCAGGACCCTAAAAGAGAGTCCGACACGGAGCCCTGAAGACACGGTCAATGCTCAGCCTAGCTCAGAATTACAGAGAATGAAAACTAGACCTCCACTGAGATACCACTCCTTCTCACCTATCAGAATGGCAAAAATATACAGCATATTTTTGGCAAGTCTGTGGAGAAACAGGCAGTCTAATAAATGACAGGTGAGAGTATAAATTGGTAAAGCTTATGGATGATTTGGCCATATCTACCAAAATTAGAAAAGTGTTTGCCCTTTGAGCCAATGATTACACTTATGAAAATTTACCTTACACAAAATAAAAAATTTGCAGGATTATTCACCACAGCAGTATTTGTAGTCACAAAAGATTAGAAACAACCCAAGTGCAGTAGCCCCCCTTATCCGTGGTTTCACTTTCCGTGGTTTCAATTACCCAAAGTCAACCGAGGTCTGAAAACATTAAATGGACGGGCTGGCCCCTTGGCTTAGTGGTTAAGTGCGCGTGGCTCCGCTACTGGGAGCCCGGGTTTGGATCCCGGGCACGCACCGTCACACTGCTTGTCAGGCCATGCTGAGGCGGCGTCCCACATACAGCAACTAGAAGGATGTGCAACTATGACATACAACTATCTACTGGGGCTTTGGGGAGAAAAAGGGGAAAAAAAAGGAGGAGGACTGGCAATAGATGTTAGCTCAGGGCCAGTCTTCCTCAGCAAAAAGAAGAGGATTGGCATGGATGTTAGCTCAGGGCTGATCTTCCTCACACACACAAAAAAAATTAAACGGAAAATTCCAGAAATAAACAATTCATAAGTTTTAAATTGTGTGCTGTTCTGAGTAGTGTAATGAAATCTCATATTCGAATTACTGTTTCTACTACTGAATGCCTATTGCTTTCACACCATCGTAAAGTCAAAAAATCTTAAGTTGAACCATCATAAGTTGGGGACTGTGTGTAGAATGATATAGAAATATCCAATGATATAAATATCTAGATATAGATATATTTGACATAGAAAGATCTCTAAAATACATTAGCAGGAAAACAAGGAATGTATTGTATGCTTCTTTTGTGCAAGAAAAGGGGTAAGCATTCATGTTTGCATTTATTTATACTCCCCTAAAGAAACTCCAGAAGGATACACAAGAGATTAAATAAATAGAAGGATTTAAGACTATTTTTAAGAGATTAAAAATAAAAGTGGGTACCTGAGGTGAGTGGGGGTATAATTCTCAATTTAAACCTACTTATGTGTTTTGATTTTTGAACTATATGAACACATTTACCTATTGAATTCTAATATTAAAAAATGGAAAAAAGTATACAGCCTCTGGAGGCAGGGGTGGCAGGAAGGAGGGGGACAAACTAACAGAGCAGAGGTGACTGTCCGGTGGGGAAGGACAGGAGCACTGTCAAGGGGAAGCACAGGGCCTGGGCCATCTCATCTGTAAACACTGCTCAGGCACTACAACTGACATCCTGGACAGCGAGCCTGAGTGCAATGGAAAGGTCACACAATCACTAAACTCAGACAGTGATGGCTGGCAGTGTGCACCTCCCCCACCCCCTGTGTCATTCCAGGCCTGAGTCTTTGATCCCAGATCATAGCTACAGCCTCCTCATGTGCCCGTGTCCCACCCTCTACCCCTCCAACTCATCCTCCCTAATGCCAAGGGGGTGAGCTCTAATCCCTCTGCCTCAGCTCACGAGCTTCTCCGCAGGTTCCCTCACTAGGGAACCTTCCTCCTTGGCTTGGCAAAGGCTATTTACAGGCTGGTGCTAACCCGGCCCTCCAGCCTTGTCTGACATCCCTCCCCTGCACCAACCCCAAGTTCTATCTGGCCAGGCTGAGCTTCTCACAGTCCCTTATAGTATGCTATACCTACATCGGAGTGGTCTCCAGCCCATTCCCTTGACAAACTCCTCAGTCATCTTCAAGACCCATTGCAAATGTCACTACTATGATGCATGGTTGTGCTCTCCTGTGCTCCCACAGCAGATATTCCTCTGTACAGAACTCATTATGCTGAATCTGAACCCTCCTTTTTCTGTTCATAGGTCTACCTCCTCCAACACCAACAATTAGGTGTCCAGCACATAGCAGGTGCTCAATCAACACTGAATGAATGGGTCTTAGGTACTAGGATCCAGAGAAAAATCAGAGACTTTTCTCTTAGGAACCTATAATCTAGTGGGGAGGAAAGCCCGACACAGCCATTTATCAGCTGTGTGACCTTGGGCATGGTTAGGAACTCCAAGAGCATCTACGCATCATAGGTTGTCACGAGCATTAACTGAGAGAACACATTTCAAGTGTTCAGCACAGTGTCTGGCATATAACATGTGGCATCTGTCATCATATCATTATGCCCCTGGGCTGATGTCACATGGCAGAAGGACGCTGTATAACACAGAAGGACAGGAACTATTTCCAGTAAGGTAGCGCCAGAAAAGGCTTCACAGAGATAGTATCTAATC